GCGCACAAAAACATATTGAAATTGTTATTGTTATATTGTTGTTTGCACCTAAATTGTGAACATGGAAGTCCTGGCCCAACTCAACTTAATTAGTCTTAAAATAATTATATGAAAAAAAAATATTTATTAAGTCTTAGCCATTAAGTCAAGACCATCACTATGATGAGTGAATATGATAGAGGAAGTTCTTCTTAAATTTAAAGAAAGTGGCAATCATGAGGCTTGGACACCAAGTCAGGATCATCTATAAATAGAGGAGCCCTCTCTTATCAATGATCATAAGTATCAATAAACTATCAATCTCAGACTCTGCATCTGTTACTTTATTTTTCTTTTTATCATGTAGCTTTAGTCTTTATTTTTCATTGTATAGCTGGCATAGCCTACTATCTTTTCTTTAATTAATATATCTCTGCTTTTCTGCATCTACATTAGTGTTCATCACTTCGCATTGTCATATCTAGGTGAACTGTGGTAAGGGAGCCCGAGTTTCTCGCGTTTGATTAGAAGTCAAGTTCTTCCATCCTCTTGAGATCCCGCGTCTTTGGCACGCTCGTAACACCATGCCTTAATTGTTTGTTTTTTACAAACAATTTTTGGCACGCCCGATGGGACTCATGTGAAAGAAATACCTAGGACACATAAAGATTAATATGTTGTTGGAAAGAATAGACCTGAGTCTTACGACTTAGAGAAGGTGGTTGCACATGCAGAACGTGAAGTACGAGCTAATGAGAGGCAAAGAGCTCTATTGTAAACTTTGAAGGAGGGGCTAAGGAACATCTATGCTATACTGTCTAGTTTGTCGCAGGAGCAAGCTTTAATTGGCTCATAACTTCAGAGAACAGATAGACTCAGGGGGTAGTCTCCTAAAGTGCCCTTTGATTAAAAGATCAATAACGATGACCACTATAATATCCCTCAAAAAATAAATAGCAGGTCTAATTTAATAGCAGGCCTGTTCGTCCACAAGGGCCAGAGCCATTGTGATCAATACCAGATGGGCCGAAGCCATAAGGGCCAAAGTTATCGGGGCTGGCACTATTGGGGCCAGCACCAGAGGAGCCAGAGCCATAAGGGCTAAAATCATCGAGGCCAAAGCCAGTAGGGCCAGTATCAGCAGGGTCGAAGTCATTGGGCATTAAGGCTAGCACCAAAAGGGCCGGAGCCACAATGACTAAAGTCATAGGGGCCGCAATCATAAGGGCCAGGATTAAAGGGATTGAAGTCATAGGGGCTACAGCCATAAGGGCCGGCACCGCAGGGGCTAAAGTCAGAAAGGCAAGTTTTGCAAGGGCTCTTTCTACAAGAGCTCTCTCCTAAAAGGCTCTTTCCACAAGGGCCTCACAACAGCTAGATTTTATAGAATCAGTCCTTAAAGTCCAAAAACTTAAAGGGCCAATTCCAAAACTAGCTCTTAAGGTCCCAAGCCTTAAGAAACTTGATCTTAAGCTGAATCACATGGTCTTTAATTCTCAATCATAAGGGTGTCTTTTAAGAAAAGTACCAGATCAACCATTAATCAGAATAAAAATGAGCCAGTCCTTTAAGATATATCCATACAAAATTGGCCTATGAAGACTCTGGCCAATTTGTATGCAGAGCTATTGCTTACACCTACATTATGAATATGGAGGCCCTGGTCTAACTCAACTTGATTGGCTTTAAAATAATTATATGAAAAAAGAATATTTATTAAGTCTTAGCCATTAAGTCAAGACCATCACTATGATGAGTGAATATGATAGAGGAAGTTCTTCTTAAATTTAAAGAAAGTGGCAATCATGAGGCTTAGGCACCAAGTCAGGATCGTCTATAAATAGAGGAGCCCTCTCTTATCAATGATTATAAGTATCAATAAACTATCAGTCTCAGACTCTGCGTCTGTTACTCTTTTTTTTATCATGTAACTTTAGTCTTTATTTTTTATTGTATAGCTAGCATAGCCTACCATTCTTTTTCTTTAATTAATGCATCTCTACTTTTCAGCATCTACATTAGTATTCTTCACTTCGCATTGTCGTATCCAAGTGAACTATGGTAAGGGAGCCTGGGTTCTCCGCGTTTGATTAGAAGTAAAATTTTTCCATTCTCTTGAGACTCTCTTGAGACCCCACGTCTTTGACACGCCTTGTAACACCACGCCTTGATTATTTTTTTTATGAACAATTGTCTGTGAAAAGATACAAGCCATGCTTCATCTTTCGCTTGTTCGGTCCACACTAGCTTTTGATTGCTTCAATAGAATCTTTCCAAAGACATGGGATTGACGATTAATCTACAATTTCCAACTTGCGAGGATAGGCACATTAACTGATTTTAGTGTGTATGTATAATTCAGTTATTCATTACTCTCTATCTATCCATCTATTTATATATAAACATATATAAAAATAGAATCGCTAGCAGCATCTTGGTGATGACATATATCCCTAATACATTATCCTAGCTTTTTATTAATTTACTTGTTTACAATCTCAAAATTCTAATTCTAATTTTAAAAGGATAAGAAACTTATCTATACTTCCTTGTCTCCAAAAATCCCTCCACTATCCAAACTCTACAACTTCTTACATATTTAAATATGTTCTGTTTTGAGAATTTTGAAAAATTTGAGTTTTTAATTTTAAACATTTTGTGAAATTATGACTAAATTTAAATTTTAAAAATATTAATAGAACCACAAGAAGCATTCTTGCAATGACATTGTTCCTGATGCAATTTTAATTTATTTATTTTTTAGTTTTTAGTTTTTAAATATAAAGAAAATTACCTCCCCCCCCCCCGATATTTCTACATTATCTTAACTTTCTATTAACTTATTTATTTATAATTTTTCTCTTACTTTTTACAAGTACATGTTACCTTGCTCCATGATGTCCTCCACTCCTCTTTAAAATGTGCAGTACTTGGGAGTTTTTGCAGATTGAGTTTGAAGGTACAAATTCTTAAAGCTTATTATCAAGTGATAAGCATGGACCAAACATCTCATTTTGAGAAAAATGAGCATACACGTGCCACTACTAACATTTCCAGTAATGCTAAAAGAAAATTCATATAGAGCTAATGGATTAGTGATGTGTTTCAATGCTTTCATGTTTTAGTGTTTCTACTAACATTTATTTGTTTCTAGGAATTTAGAGTTAAAATTTAAGATTCTTTTTCTTTTTGCCAACAAAGTTTAGGATCCAAACATTTTATTTGTCTACGGTCCGTCGCTAGCATGTGTAGACAATATTTCTTATTATATAATATATTTATAATGATATTCTTCCCTACTTTGTGCTAACCATTTCCATATCATGCAATGGTCATGGAAAAACTATTTTGCCCATATTTTTTTTAAATGTGAGCTATTTCATGTATTAAAATATGGGACAGCACATTTCATTTTTAAGCATCAATATTAGGACACTTTCTCTTAAAAAATTTATTTATATTATCTCATAAGTTTTAATCATTTTATGAGTTTTAAATGTTAGAGTTTCCTCACTCTCATACACACACAAAAATATGGAGGTTATACTAAAAACAATTAGTGAGAGTAAAATAACACTAAAGAACATACAACAATGGCAGCATGTATGTTTGTATATATATATATATGTATATATATTAAAATTCATTTAAATATTAGTAAAAAAGTTATTTTCACTTAATAACATTTTAGATTTTTAATTTTTAATTTTTTCACATCTCATGTATTGCACGGGCCACATACTAGTTTATAAATATAGGGCTTGCTTGGATTCACTCTAAAATTCAATTCAGCTCCAAAATAATAGTTTTGGAAATTTTTATCCTAACACCTCAATTTTTCAAAATTCTATTTGGAAAAAGTTGAATTTTGTTCCATTTGAAAATCTGAACCTCAATTTTATCAAAATTAATTTTTAAAAATTTATCCAAACATCATCAATTATTTTATAATTAATTTTTTTCAATTGAAATTCAAACAAGTCCATAACTGTTGTATTTTGTTATCTACACAATTGAGAAGTTAATGAGCTCAAAATTCTCGCCTCCCCCTCTCTCTCACATACACCCTCATAATTCAAGTGGCAAAAAAAAAAGTGCAATAAGATTTCAGCCTTTTTCTCTCAATGTATTCCTCTAGTCCTATTTATAGGATAGGGGTAGAAAAAAATTTAATCTTATTTATAGGGTGTTTGTCAATTTTTAAAGTTTTTCTTTATATTTTTATCCTTATTAAATATTTTAAATAAAAATATCATAAAGATTTAAGAATATTTATTAGAATAAATATATAAACTTATTAAATTTTAAGATAAAGTAAAAAAATAACTTATAAATAGAATGAAACGAGTATTTAATACAAACGATACACTCTTAATTAGGGCAGAAAATACTCCCAAAAAACAAAATAAAAAAAAAGTAGTGCAGGCAGTTGGCAATTTATATCAGAAAACTCTTCTGAAGCAATTAAATCAGTGAACTAAATAAATCACATTTAAAATAATATGAAATAATTAATTTTGCATATAATGTCATTCAAAAAATTGAATGGCGTCAGCGGTCAGCCCATGAACTCACAGTGGCGAGCAGGCAAGAAGCGAACTCGCAGCTTTCCAAAACGTGAATCTGCGATGTTCATCGTGTTCTGTTTGTTATCTATTCCGTTTATTCAAGAAAATTAGATAAAATTATTTTGGCCATTAGTTAAAATGAAAGGATTATGATTTTAGAAAAAAGGGGCAGCAGACGCCGAAATTCCTAAAATCCACTTTAATTTACTAATATTATTGTTTTGTTTGCAGCAAAAGCAGCTTCAGGTTTTCTGTATAGGTTTCGTGAAGTTCTTCGTATTTTAGAAACTTCTACCCCCGGTTGTAGATGACCACTCCATAAATTGAGCCCCATTTTGATTCCGTGAACAATCTAACATTTTAGCTAACCTCAAGAATACAGCATATATATAATAGAAGGATAAAAGAGTGGGAAAAGGAATAATGAAAAAGAAATAAGAGTGCTAGAGAGAGGAAGAATAATGGGGGATATTATTGATGGTGATAAGGGGAAAGAAAAAATGGGAAAAGTGAAGTGAAGTGAAGTCAAGCAGGCATCCAAAAAGAGGCAAAAACAACATTGTGTCCTTTCCAGGTGAGAACAAGATGGTCGTCGTCCTTCTTCAATCCCCACCCAGCTGCATGCTCGTCAAGCATCGCCTTCACTTCTGAAACCCCCTCCTCACTCAATCCGACCCCTTGAAACTTGGCGTTCCTCATCCGCTGCTCCCACCTGCTCTTCGGCTCCGCTCTCTCCACCCTCTGTACTCCTTCCTGCGCTATCACGTTCTCTATCTTCCAGCTTATATCCGCCTCGTACCACTGCCTCTGCCTGCTCCCTCGAGGCAAGAACGTGTCCACCGTGTCGTACGGTATCCACAGGTAATTAAACGCCGACTTCAGCCTGCACACCAGATTGTTCGATGTCAAGTCCGCGTCTTCCTCCACTAAAACCACGATCGTCGGCTCCAAGCTCCGCACCTCTCTCAGAAACATCGAACGCAACGACGACGACTCGTACATGTAAGAGGTTGAAATCAAGTGGTCCGGTTCGGGGGTTAGTGTGGATAGGGTTTCGTCGGGGATATAATGGAGCATCATGTGACAGTTTATCACCAGGGCTTCCCTTCTGTGCCCTTCTGCAGCCAAAACCATCTGTTGCACCCGAAGGTGTTCGATCAGAGCCGCGAACCCGTCTTTATAGCTAGAGGAAATCACTTTGAATTCCAATATTATGTTCTTAGAACTCGCGAAGCTCACCAGCTTGGCACCCAGCTCACCGTAGGAAAGGTTAAGCACTGGCGGGATGTCGGTATTGGAACCAGCGACCGTGAGCCTGATTAAAGGAGGGACCTCGTGGCGGGTGGCGATAGCGTCGATGAGCGTGGGAATCTGCATGCAATGCGTGGAGCTCAAGTCCACGATGTGAACAACTGAATATCCCTCGGTAACTTCCAGAATGGCCGAGTTAGCCGCCGTGAATCCGAAACGGTGCCAAGGGGTTAAGTCCACGAAGTTGGCGAGCTCGACGACGGAGAAGCTGTGGATGTCTACGGTGGCGGGGTTGGTACGGTCGTCGGTGACAACGGCAAGCATTTTACAGCTGCCGGATTTGGCAGCACGTGCTGCCAGAGCGCGGTTGAAGGCGGAAGCGAGGCGCTGATTGGAGTCGCCGTCTGGGGGAGCGATGTTGTTCAAAACCCAGAGGATTTGCTGGGCGAGAGTGACGTCGTTGGATTCGATGGCGTTGGCGCAGTGAACAAGCAATTGCTCCATGCAAGTGGCATCACCGAAGGAATTGAAGGCCTTGGAGGAAGGGAAGCCAGGCCAGGGTCGCGTCTTGAGAATTTGATTATTCTTGTTCATGGAAAGGCCGGAGAAAGGGGCGGCGATTTGGTGCAGAGAAGGAGGGGAAGGAGTGAACTGCGTCGACATTGAATGAGGAGAAAGAGAGAGGGGCGGGGGGGGGGGGGAGGCTGAAAAAGAGAAAGTGACCTGACTAGAAGCAGGGGGTACCGCTGGCCATTGGGAAGCGATCCCAATGAAGGGGTGAGTGAAAATACGTGGAAGTGGGGAGGGAAGAGGCAGAGAGAAGGGATGGATGGAAGGTAAAAGAGACGGGTCAGCTTTTATGGGGAGGACGTTATTGTTATATTCCAAAAGCAGAGAGGTGAGCAGAGAGGTCAAATTGTGGAAAAGAGACCATACTTGGGAGAATTTCAGGCTTTGTCAGGCGAGGGGTAAAACCAGCCAAACGCTAAAACTAGTAAAGGGTTTAGGTTGGTGGGTGGAGAGGAGGGGGGCGAAGGCCATTTTGGTGCCATGTGAAACAGCCGGCCTCCTCTTTGTCACTACTTGCGAGTTGCCATTTTGTCATCTTTTTCCCTTTGGTGGGCTCTGTGGGAGATTGGGGCACCAAAATAATATAAAAATTTTCTTTAATTATTTTATTCCAGCCCATTGAATCCAAATTCCTTACATCTCTCCCTCTTCAAATAGGATTTTCTCCTGTTCATTTTCCTCTTGATACGTGGTGTGTACCTGCAAAAATGTGATATTTTTGATCAAAATTTTAAATAAAGAAGTCCAAAAATAAAATAAAGGTATCTCATTATTTTAAAACACCAGGGGAGAGAGCAAGGGAATGAATCAGTTTTTCAGGCCATTTTTCAGCCCCTTTTTTTTTTAATAAAAGGCCACGGCAAACCATGCACAAAGATTAAATTTTAATCATGTCTAAAGCCAAAAGATTTTTACAATCATCAAGTGGATCAACCTATTATTTTGTAATCTAAATTCTTTGCTAGCTAGTTTTCTATAATTTATGTCAGCAGCCAACACAGTCCTTTTTTTTTTAATTACTCTCTTCATCTTAAATTATAAAATACTTTTAAATAAAATCTCACTTACTAATAAAATTTATTAAATATACTTTACAACCTCACTTTTTCAAAATAAAAATATAAACTTTTAAAAATATCTTTCATTTAATACATCATTAATAAAAAAATATTAAAAAGAAAGAATATATGGAAAGAATAATAATGAAAAAACATACTTAATAAAACTTTATTTTTATTAAAATATCTTATATTTTGAGAAGCTTAACCTTGCCTGAGACGGAGGGAGTAGAAGGCAAAGATATGACCATCCATTGACAAATACTTTTAAATATATCGCGATTGTAGCATATTCCTTTGCGACATGTCCGTTATTTGTGTGTATGAGAGATTAATCACAGAATAGAACGTGTATAAGTTGTTAATTTGCAAAAGAGGACGGGAATGGGAGAGCCGAAGCGTACTGGGCGTTTTCATTATTTTGTCTTTCCCGTCTTTAATAATCGTATGTTTCCAACAAATCCTGGAGTCTAGTTGAATAGGATAATATACTGGCCACGGGTTCGCGCTCATGATGCGACCATACACAGCCATGATTCTTATACCCGATTCGAATGAAAACAAGAATGATAGAAAGTGATAAAAAAAATAGCAAGATTTAGTTGTACTTCTGCTATGTTATATAAATCCAAGCAACATGTGGTTTTCTCAGGGTGCTTTGACGTAATCAAATGAATAAGTTGGCATGTAAGGGGACGTTAAGTACATCCAATGCATAAAATGAGGGAATAGACGAACCCTCCACCCAAAGGAAAAAGCGAATCCTTGCTAAAAATATCACTGTTGTTTGTTTGCAGTGAATTCCACACCCTCCACCCCGCATTTGTTTAATATTTATAGACCAGAACTTGAATTGCTTGTATTTTATCGAGCATGTTACCTCTACTTTGTATCGCCAAGTTATACTGCATTTCTTAAACATTCTTCCATCATTCTCTCTCCATCGAACTCATCACTTCCCAACAGATAAGAATTCCCTCATTTATATCGTTTCTATGGCCTTATCCGAGAGGACAAGCTGAGCATAAGCCACGGAAATTAAATTTAGACACGAAGAAAAGGTATTAGCGTTCACACACATATGCAGTACTACTTCACAAATTAGAATCGAACATCACATGTCTACATCGCTCGATCTTTTACTCTTCACGAGGCTTGCTCCCCACTGCAAGTTTGCGAGTGATATCTCGTTTCTTTCTCAGTCTCTTTGTGTTGCATTTTTTTTTCCCTTTCTTGGCCTGGTTTCCTTATTTGTTTTTCTATGATCTCAAGCTCATAAATTTTCTCTTCCTATAATTCCTTGCGTGGTTTGGCGTATATGGAATGTTATGATTATCTATTTCCTTACATTGCTGTGATATTAATGCACTGGTCTTCTACAGAAGGCTGCTTTATAAACTCTCCGATCGGCCATACGATTTAATTCTCAAAAGGGTCAAAGGGCCCACCACGTACCATGTATATGTGCTGTTTGGTCTGCGAGAAATGGAAATTGAGTACTAAATATAGTGGTGCCGAATCATGCATGGTCTCCGAGAAGCCTAAAAAAGGCTCCGCCATGTTCCTTTTTTTTTTATTAGCTCGCTTTTGCTAACTAATTTTCACTGTTTCAGGCGTAGGATGGAATCTCGAGATAAAAAAGGTAGAGAACTTTTCTAGCGCTTAGTTACGCACAAGCATTTCTGTCATGACTAAATAAAATAGTGTCACGATTAGTTCTCCAAACAGGAAAAGGATTAGGCTTATTAAAATTTAAAAAAAAATTATTTTTTCAATTCACATTCTTTTTTTATTTGGGTGATGTGAATTATCTTCTTTTTAAATTTTATTTTTAAAATATAATATAAATTGGGATAGTAAAATTCCCTTTTTGTAGCAGTGAGAATTTGAAAGAAGCAAGTAAGGAGAACAGCAAAAGTTAAAGAAGTGTCATTATAATATTCATGGATGAGAATTTTGAGGAGGATTCCTTTACTTAAGGTACAAGAACTAAAAGACACATGGGGGATAAAACAACATTGTTTGGAGCGGTTTTTTTGAATTTCTCAGGGCAGTTGCTGTATTTGTTTTTCTATGATTAGAAACAACCCTAAAAACAAAAATCGCAAGACATGAAGCAAGGAATTTATCCATGTGCTTTTGTATTCCTTGGATTAATTTTAAATTAAGTTACTGATATAATGAGCACGCTGGGTCAGGATTGCGCTAGTTCTTAGGAGTCCAACTTACCCAAAACATATGAAAGCCAAATGTATAAAGACAGAGACTTCGAATGTTGAGCCATAAGTTACAAGGGACATGCCATCACTCTTGATGTAATAGGCCGGGTTTGGTGAAAATTAAGGTTATTTTAGATATTTATGATTATTTTATTAACATTTTGTTTGAATGAGGATATTTAAAATATTTCTTAGAATTAAGTTTAATTAGGACATGGTTGATTTTTTAACATTATTTTAAATTTTATTGATTTTTAAATAAATGTACTCAAAGTTTTATCAATGTCCTCTTAGTTGATAGACGGGGGCAGATCAGTTATTTGCTTTGAAATAATTTTTATATTTTTAGTAAATTTTATCTTAACAGGTATAAAAATTAAAATAAAGATAATCTAGCCTATCCTCGTTGATTGAATAAAAGTTTGCATATCCTCCCTCCCTCCCTCTCCTCTTCTCCCTCTCTCTCTCTAATTTTCTCACATCGACTCTTATTCTTCCTGTGATCTTGAGACTCGTTGGTCATCATGTGATGCATTCACGGTCTTGTGATTCAGAAATGTCCAACCAATCATGTAGTGAGACCTTTTATTGATTCTCCCTTTTGGATGCGCTTATATTCTATGTTGGGGGTCCTGTTACTACTCGACCTCGCATGGTGACTTTAATTTGATCCGCAGTGTATTGGGATTTTGAATTTACTTATATATGTGAATGGCGGTATTCGAACATAATGTTTTATAACGCAGTATATATAGAGACACAGACACACTTAAAATATCAGAAATTACTTTGATTATTACAAAATGACACCGGTAATATATCACTCTCAATCAGGGGATTAATTCAGCTGGTTGCTAGCTAGCATTAATCTTGCAGATGGTGAATGCAATTATGTCTTCTGCATCTCAGGGGTGATTATATATATATATATATATATATATGTTGCCTGTGAGATCTCTACTCGCTGTACTCAAAAAAGAAAAGACATGAGCAGGTTTTGTTCATTTATTTTGCTAGAATTAAGCAATATTGTTTGAACCAGTTTTTTTTTTTTTTTGAATTTCTCTAACGTAAAAGAATTCTCTGAACATTTGCTGTATATGTTTTTCTAGGATTTAAAACGACGCCAAAAACAAAAATTGCAATGCATGAAAGTAAGGAATATGATGTGTCCACGCACTTCTATGGATGCCCATGTTCTTTGTGCTAATTTTAAATTACTGATAAAATGAGCAGGCTGGGTCAGGACGGGAGTTTTTAGGAGCTTAATAACTTACCCAAAACACAGGGAAGCCTAAGGTACAAGGACATAAACTTCGAATGTTGAGCCATAAATTACAAGGCCAAATCACTCTCTTCTTTGTGTTAAGTATATCCACTCGATCATCCATCACACCAAAATGTTATGATTCAGAAATGTCCAACCAATCATGCAGTGATGCAGGTGAGGCCTTTCTATAAATTCTCTTTAATTACATGCTTGCATTTTGTGGTCCTGTTTCTATTTGACGTATGTGTTGATTGATTAATTTGGTCCACAACGTTGAGATTTTAAAGATATATATATATATATATATATACTTGCAGGTTGCAGTATTCAAATATTTTCACATGGGAGTACATAATCAACTCTTCCATTAGAATAAGATCGAGCATATATTCCCTTCGAGTCTATGAATCTGTAACTTTTGATCATAATTTTATCTTCTATTAATTTTTGGTTGATCATGGTTCTTGCAGTAATTTTGAAAGATTACCTGCATTTATGAGAAACAACTGTTGGGTGGGATCTTTATTTTACATGAAGTTTAAGAGAAAAAAAAAAAAGCATACTTAAATACTCTATCCATCCTATTTGGGAAAAAAAATTGTCGGACTCTTGTTTATTTTATGGGAGAATTGAAGGAACTAGTAGTGTAATTATCAATTAATGGCAATTTCCCTTTTTCGCCTTCCTTTCATTACCACGGATTAATTGTTGGGCCGAGTTATATGCCCCGTATACGGCATCGTCATGGGCCGACTTATATGCTAATAATCCAGTTTGGATTCTTTTATCCTCTTATTCTAGCCCAACCTGGGAATCGGGCCAAAAGAAACGGCGCCGTTTAAAGGTGTTCTCGC